ATTAACCACAATATAACAGCTTTAAATGCATTAATAATTTTGAAACAGTGGCATTCAGTAGGTAAGTCTTGAAATTAAGTTCTGCATTGCTGTTACTTTGTAGGGTTCTTTAATAGCATTAACAATCGTTATTTGCTTTCTGAAGAATGGAATAACAAGATAATATAACAATATAAATAGATAGGGCGTCTAAGGTCGGCAAGTGGAGCCGAGTCACTTCTTTAGATTTTGTAAATAAATATATGTTTTCAAATTGAATTGAGTCTATTACAATTTGTAAAATGATTTTTGGCTAGCTTTTAGGGTTTAACACCCGTTCGTGCTTTATACTGGTCACCAACAACATAGGTTTTAACCACAATAGCAACAGTACTCGTCAAACAGCGTTTATTTGTGTATGTACCTAATGAAAAATCAAATTATATTCGCGTGGAAAATGAGAAACGAAGCGACATAGAACTTGCGATGCGATTGCATCTAGGCGGCTGTTACGTCCTTCCTCTCAATGCCGTTCTTCTGCGTCGCCCGGACTGGTCTCAAACGTACCTAATGATGTGCAAAAGATTCAGAGTGATCCTCCACAAATTGTTCATTCAAATTATCATTTTTCCCCTGGATATAGTTATTTGAGTGTAGGGATTACGCAGTTTTTAGAGTAATTAGAATTCCACGTTTTGTGACTACAGGCGAAACTTTACTTAAAAGTTAACTTCAAATCATCATTTTTATCCCTGGATATAGTTTTAGAGTAATTAGAATGAAATATTCATAATTTATTACTAGTATTTACATAACCTAGTTGTACAACTAAGAACCTAAAATTAAAAAGCTTAAAATAAAAATATATTATGATGACTAAAATATATTATTAAAAGGGGGGCCCCTTTTAATAATATATTAGGTAATTTTAGGCAACGTTCCGAAGATACTGGCAGCGTTCCCTCTTTGAATAGCTAGACTAATTCTTTGTCCAAGGTAGCTGCCAGCTCTTCGGTCTTCTGTGATGTCGACTAACCTTTCGTTATTTCTTTGAAAAGTCTTATAGCGCTAGGACCCCATGGACCAAGGGTCTTGACATCGAATGGGACAAATTCATATTCGGAACCTAGACCCCTGTATTTACATATTTTGGCTTTTTCAGCCGCTTCACATGCCGCACCAGCTCTGTTGTTGGTTCCATGTAGATGGGATGGGGCTAGCGTGTCTGCACAGGTTGCATCCCATACCAGCACCCGGCCCATCTTCCATGGAATCAAACTCATACCGTCCGGTCTCTTACCATCGTCTCTTGCAATACCAGTCGGCTCAAGTAGACTTGGTACGTTGACAGTCGTTAAGTGCGGTCTCTTACCATCGTCTCTTATGGACAGAAGATACCACAGTTTTGCGGCTTAACCGATGGGTAAATTTTCCAAGATGGCTTATTAAATCGTCTTTTTACTTGTGTCAAAAGATCTGGGTATTTCCAGAAGGAGCAGCAACGGAGCACATACGTAAATTTTGGGACGAAAAGACAGAATTTTAAGATACAAAGTGCATAATGTGCACTGATTTCAAGTAGACGGTCAGCAGAATTTTGAAATTTAGCAATTGAATTATTAATATATTCACAAACAGATTAATCAAAAATGGGAGATCCTAAAAGGTAAAGGGAATTACTGTTAACTATTTTAATATTTAGAGCCAGAGTATTGAATTTTTGGTTTACATCGTTTAAATTTAAGTCAGTGTTATTTATAAAAAGTTCGCATTTGCTAAAATTAAGCTCCAAACCAATGGCTTCAAATTTATTTTTGATTAAAAAAAGGTCCGAAAACACAGTATCCACATCACCGCCCAGAGATCCGTCGTCCAAATACCAAACGTTAAATTTAGAATTTAGATTTTTGATTATCGGATTTATAGCCAAACTAAAAATTGCAGGCCCAAGGGGATCACCCTGTTGACAACCTACTTCCGAGGACAGTTCATTAGAACGATATAACAATTTTGTTGGGTCAGCGTAACTGAGAAGAAGATAATTGTATATTTCCGGTGTGTGTTGTTTTATTTCCGTTAACAGGGTATCCCTATTTACCGAATTGAATGCATTTTTGACATCAATTTTGAGCAACACGTCAGGCTGCCCGTAAGTTAGGAAAGAGCGTAGAGCATGGAGGGCTGCCTCACATCCTCCTTTTACACCGAAGCCTAACTGTAGGGGTTCGAATTCCGAATTTAATTTTGGTAATATATGTCGAACAGCAATTTTGGAAGCCAGACGTCGTAGTGTTGAACCAACAGCAATTGGTCTCACCCCTCCGTCCTTTTTGGTAAGGGCAATGAGGTTCGCCCCGAAAAGAATGGGAACAATTTCTGAATTGACAAGACCGGAATACATAAAATTGATTAATTTAGTGATCGAATTTACAAGTTGCTCACCTGCATCACCCACAGAATACGATGTTAGGGTGAGAAATGTTGGCTTTCAAATGTTGGGGTGAGATTCCATCCAAACCTGCAGCCGAACCTGGTTTAAAGGATGAAATGGCATCCGTCATATCTTTGTTTTGAATTTGAAGGCATATTTGCCCTGCTGTTGGTGGGTCGACAAAAAATGGATTTACTGGAGCTGGAGGATGTTTTGTCCGTAGGGCCTCAAGGGTGTCAGGGGTATCTGGTGATAGCACGTCGTTTGAGAACAAAAGGCGAGCGGCTCCTTTGAGATCTCCGTCGCAGATTTTTTTCTCGATAAGCTTGTTCTGATTGCGAGGGGTATTATGTTTGATTGGAGGTGCGGGAGAAGACGAGGAGCTTACAGCACAGTTATTCTTTATCTTTTGTGTCAACGATAAATTCGGTTCATCAGTTTTTATTGTATGTAGTGTACTGTATGAGAATAAAAATAGGTTCTGCCAGTCTTGAGTACAATTAGAATTCTATTTCTTGTTACTATAGTTGAAACTTAAAAGTTAACTTCAAATCATTATTTTTTCCCTGGATATAGTTATTGTAGGGAATACGCAGTTTTTAGTGTAATTAGAATTCCACGTTTTGTGACTACAGTTCAAAATTTACTTAAAATTATTATTTATTCAATGGATATACTTTATTTGATTGTAGTGAATACGCAGTTTTTGAAGTAATTAGAATTTCACGTATTGTGACTACAGTTGAAACTAAAAGTTAACTTCAATTTATCATTTTTTTCCCTGGATATGGTTATTTACTTATATGGGACTACGCAGTTTTTAAAGTAATTAGAATTCCACGTTTTGTGACTACAGTTGAATCTTAAAAGTTAACTTCAATTTATCATTTTTTTCCTTGGATATGGTTATTTTATTTTAGGATATACGCAGTTTTTAAAGTAATTAGAATTCCACGTTTTGTGACTACAGTTTAAAATTTACTTAAAATTAGAGTTGCCACGAATACTGGCTATTATTCGGCATTACTCAACATTTTTTTTTGTTATTCGTCGAATACCGAATAATAGCCAGTGTTATTCGACATTCGGCGAATAATCGTCTAAAATAAACTTTGAATGAACAAAAAAGCCTATTAAGTTAAAAATACTCAAACTTTATTATTTTACTTAATAAAACAGTAACAGTATCAATTATTATCATTAATATAAATAGTTAGCCAAGACTCAGTCTTGCCATGTTGATGTAATTAGTTAGGCTTTTTAATTAATATTTAAAATCCAACAGCGGCAGATTGTGGTGCAAAAAAACTAGTTATTCTGTTAGGGAAAATGCCTCGGAAAATAGTCTTTCTGAATAAACAGAGCTTGCTGGTGTGATTAAGTATCGTTTAGCAAGCTTACTTAAAATAGGAAATCCATTCTTATTGGTACTCAAAGCCCACCATTTATATGGGTTTATTTTTCTGCTAGTCTTAGCTAATGCGATGTAGTGGGCGACTTCTTCAGCAGTGGCATTCTTGGGTTGCTCTTCAGTAGACTGCTCTATCGTAGATTCTTCAAAACATGCCCAAAATAGTTTGAGTTTCTGAATCGACATTCTCACTTTCGTTGACTAAACGAAACCTTTTGGATGTGGTTCTGGATCCGATTCATCATTTTCGTCATCTAAAGAAAGCCTAAGACCTTCACTGAGCGCAGCTCTACGGACCCGTTCAGGTTGTGTAGCGTGTTTATCCGATCTTAAAAATTTTTTCACTGTCACTTAGATCTTTTTTAGCGCGCTTCTTTTGACGTATCGTACATTGCAATCCGACTTATATAGCCTATTTTTGCGATTTTTGGAGTACGGAGCTCGCTATTTTTACTGCATTCGTGGTGCGACTCTGGATAGTCTCTTATAACAACTATTCGCGGCATCTAGACTTGAAACTTAGATGTTAACTTCAAATCATTATTTTTTCCTTGGATATAGTTATTGGACTGTAGGGAATACGCAGTTTTTAAAGTAATTGGCGAAACTTAAAAGTTAACTTCAATTTATCATTTTTTTCATTGGATATGATTGTTTGACTTTAGAGAATACAGGCAGTCCTCGTAATTACGAATGTTAGGTTCTCGAAATACGCGACGTAAATCGAAACGATTTAAGTCGAGACATATTTTTTCATATGTTTACATGTAAAACTCAAGGGTTAGGTTCCACACGGACTCGAAATAATAAAAAAAATATTCGCATTTATAACAAAGGACGTACTTTATTATTAAAAGTAAGTTCTTAAAATAATTATATATTATGCAAAATTTATGAAATTGCTTTATTTTTGGTATTTGTGTGTGAATTAATTTTAATAATAATTATAAAACTTATACATATGTAATGATAAATAATAAATTAAACTTTTGGCTTAAAGAAACTATCAATTCTAGATTTTTTTGGATTCTTTCTTCTTGCTATCATACAGATCTTGGTAACAGTGATAGGCTGCACAAATTTTGTTATTAACGTTAAAACTTCTTCAAAATTAGGATCATTTTCTTCAAAAATTTTCATGGCATTCTTCAAATTGTGCAAAGGCTACGGAAAGTTTTTTTAGTGTAAGTTCTTTTTCAGAGTTTTTTCACTAATAGAAGAAGCTATTTCTTGTGACTCGAGTGCTTCCTTTTGTACTTGTGCCTCCAATTCAATAAGATCTTCATCAGTCATTTTTTTCCCTGCGAATGTGATTTAACAGATCATCAATATTTTAGTAACTGCAATGTCACGTTGTGTGAACGGTTAGCCAAATGAACAATGTCATTTTGATCTCATCGACATTTGGTTGATCTGTAGATGTAGAACTTTCAGATGTGACTCAAAAAAAAATTAACTTTTCCACACTTTTTCCTTTTAAATTGTTATTGTCACCTCATCCCATGAAGTAGCAATATTTTTTACGCATTGCAGTTTATAACTTTTCCAAAAATCTCTCAGCTCCATTTTTTTCCATCATTTTCATTAATACCTTTACAGCCTGTGAAAAAGTTCTTGAGATAATAGGCCTTAAAAGACGCATTTTTCCTTGATCCATCGGTTGTTTTATGGTGTTGGGAGGCAGAACACGACTTTGATTTGAGGATCAATATCGGCAATACGCACAGGATGGCCAATTTAGCATTGTCCAAAATAAGTAAAGCTTTATAAGCCAAATTATTGTTTGAACAGTACTGTTTCACTTCATGTATTATATGCTTAGTAAACCATTCTTCAAAAAGTATAGATGTAACCCATGCCTTTGGATTAGCCTTCCATATAACTGGAAGAGTACTCTTGACGTAATTTTTGAGAGCTCGAGGATTTTCAGACCTATAAACTAAAAAAGGGTTTCAATTTAAAATCACCTTCAACATTCGAACCCAATAACAACGTCAAACGATCTTTAGCCGCTTTAAATCCAGTTAGCATAGACTTTTCTTCCTGTGATATAAAAGTACGAGAGGGCATTTTTTTAAAACAAACCAGTTTCGTCCACGTTAAAAATTTGTTTAGGCGAATAGTCTCCACTTTCGATAATTTCCTTTAATATTCCAGGAAAACTCTGAGCAGCCACATGATCGGCACTAGCAGCTTCTCCTTGCACTCGAATGTTATGTAACGAATATCTCGTTTTAAAGCGCATGAACCATCCGCGACTGGCAGAAAAACATTTTGTTTCGTCACTATTATTCTCGCCACGTTTATTTTGCAGTGTGTTGATGATACTCAGCGCCTTATTTTGTATAATAGCCAAACTTAGAGGAACCCGTCGCTGAGTTTGATCTTGAATCCAATTGTACAACAGTTTTTCCATTTCATAAATTAAAGCATTCCTTTTGCGTATAATAGTGCTGTTTGAAGAGACGGAAGGAAGAGCTGTTAAGAGTTTTTCTTTATCTTTCAATATTGTTTGTACCGTCGTGCGTGATAAATTAAGTTCTCGTCCAATAGATGAAGTCGAATAACCGCGATCTTTGAGTTTTAAAATCTTAGATTTAACCTCCATTGTAATTGACTTTCTTACTCTCTTCTTCACTTTATTATTACTGTCTTGTTTAGGTGGCATTTTTAAAATTCACTTAAATATGTATGTAACTACACAAAAACTTCATATACAAAAAGTCAAAGATGCAAAAAAACTAATTTATTACGTCTTGATTGTCCGTTGTCCCTGAAAGTACTAAACAAAATCAGCGACATTTGCGGGGTATTCCCCGCACGAGACGATGGACCGCGCCCCGCCCGCGCCCCTCACGGACATTGACCTTGCGACAAGTGAATTCTCCGATATGCCGGAAATCGAAACAAATGACGTATGCTTGAGGAATAGTGTCAAAACATTGTTTGACGTAACTTGAAACTTAAAAGTTAATCGAAACGACGTTTTTCGATATGGATTTTATGTACGCAGTTTTTAAAGTAATTAGAATTCTACGGTTTGTGACTACAATTGAAAATTTAACTTCATATTATTATTTTTTCCATGGATATACATTATTTAACTGTAGTTGTACGGGAGCCTTCTATCATCCCGTACTTGATTGTAGGATTGCTGGTGCAGGTGGAAACAAGAAAAAACAATATTCGAAATATCGTCTCGAGCAGAGGTCGGTGGTCGGTAATAGCGATGGAAGCGAATTCTACGTTTTGTGACTACAGTTGGGGATTTACTCAAAATTTAACTTAAAATTATTATTATTTCTACGGATATACTTTATTTTATTGTAGTGAATACGTAGTTTTTAAAGTAATTAGAATTCCACGTTGTGTGACTACAGTTGAAACTTAAAAGTTAACTTCAATTCATCATTTTTTTCCCTGGATATGGTTATTTTATTGTAGTGAATACGCAGTTTTTAAAGTAATTAGAATTCCACGTTGTGTGACTACAGTTGAGACTTAAAAGTTAACTTCAATTCATCATTTTTTTCCCTGGATATGGTTATTTTATTGTAGTGAATGCGCAGTTTTTAAAGTAATTAAAACTCCACGTTGTGTGACTACAGTTGAGACTTAAAAGTTAACTTCAATTCATCATTTTTTTCCCTGGATATGGTTATTTTATTGTAGTGAATACGCAGTTTTTAAAGTAATTAGAATTCCACGTTGTGTGACTACAGTTGAAACTTAAAAGTAAACTTTAATTCATCATTTTTTCCCTGGATATGGTTATTTTATTGTAGTGAATACGCAGTTTTTAAAGTAATTAGAATTCCACGTTGTGTGACTACAGTTGAAACTTAAAAGTTAACTTCAATTCATCATTTTTTTCCCTGGATATGGTTATTTTATTGTAGTGAATACGCAGTTTTTAAAGTAATTAGAATTCCACGTTGTGTGACTACAGTTGAAACTTAAAAGTTAACTTCAATTCATCATTTTTTCCCTGGATATGGTTATTTTATTGTAGTGAATACGCAGTTTTTAAAGTAATTAGAATTCCACGTTGTGTGACTACAGTTGAAACTTAAAAGTTAACTTCAATTCATCATTTTTTTCCCTGGATATGGTTATTTTATTGTAGTGAATACGCAGTTTTTAAAGTAATTAGAATTCCACGTTGTGTGACTACAGTTGAAACTTAAAAGTTAACTTCAATTCATCATTTTTTTCCCTGGATATGGTTATTTTATTGTAGTGAATACGCAGTTTTTAAAGTAATTAGAATTCCACGTTGTGTGACTACAGTTGAAACTTAAAAGTTAACTTCAATTTATCATTTTTTCCTTGGTTATGGTTATTTTACTTTACGGAATACGCAGTTTTTAAAGTAATTAGAATTCCACGTTGTGTGACTACAGTTGAAATTAAAAAAACGTTAACTTTCCTAAAAATAATTTTTTGGGTGGAGTCCTTGATGACATATAGTTATTTAGTAATTATAGATTAAATTGGTAATGGTCTTGTATTGTGCTGCATCACGAATTTCCTATTTTGAATAATATCCCCTAAATACTTCGTTTGAGTACTGTACTACCAAAAAAATTAAATTCAGTTAAATTGAAGTTTTGGTTTATCAATAACTCTTATTAGTAGTGAATACGCAATTTTTAGAGTAAGTACAATTCCACGTTTTGTGACTACAGTTGAAACTTTGCTTAACAGTTATCTTCAAATTATTATATTTCTGTAAAACGTTAATTTGTCTTACGTTTCTTTCCTAAAATTATAATTTTAATTCGGTAAAGTCTAAATTGATGACACATTTAAATGACGATAATGACAATCCTAGACCAATGTCTCTGTAATTAGAATTCCATGCTTTATTACTACAGTTCAAAAACAGAACCATACGAGTAAAGAAAATAATAATTATAGTTGCTATAGAATAAATTGGTAATGGTCCAGCGGACTGTATTGTGCTGCATCACGAATTTCCTATTTTGAATAATATCCCCTAAATACTTCATTTGAGTACTGTACTACCAAAAAATTTAAATTCATTTGAAGTTAAGGTTTTTCAATAACTCTTATTACATTTCCATTGTATTCTTGTAGCTGTGTAAACAATTGCTTCTGGCAGATCAAATATTTCTGTCATCGCCCGATAGAAGATTTCAGGTCCTGGATTACCGGTACTCAAAATAGAACTCTCTTTATCAAGAGACAGAGATAGCCCAAAAGCGGTCGATGATGGTGATACAATACTTGTAATCATACGAAAGAGGTAATGGTCTCTAAGTTGTCCTATAAGGTCGAGATGGATGTGTGAAAAACGAGAGGAAATAAGGAAGGTGGCAGGACGAGATTTGATATTACGGGTAATCTTACTTTTCTGGCATTGCAAGCATTGCGTAGCCCGATGATGGTGATACAATACTTGTAATCATACGAAAGAGGTAACTCTTGTCCTATACACTACTCACGAAAATATGTGAGTGGCCACAAGCTGTACCTGTGGTAGCTGCGCTTCCAGGTTATCATGTCAAATACTGGTCTCCGTAATTGTGGAGTTATATAAGTATTTGCATGGACAAGTCACAATAAATCACCACCTGGAGTAATCGGTATACATCTTCATAAGCTGTAAAGAAGTACCGTGGTTTCAAAGGTATTGCAGTTCTCAATCTTTCTGCTGATATCTTGCAAGACCCTAATAGTGAATCTAATTACAGACTCAATATTTTCGTGTCCATGTATGTACCTAATTCTGTGGTAAATTATTATATAAAATCAAGATACCGGAATTGCCTTGGAGTATTACATTTTTTTTTTTCTAGTACATTTTTCTTTATTTGATACAAAATCGATCGTCAACGGCTTATGATCGGTGTAAATAGCCAATGTTCTAGCTTCAATCATATGTCAGAAGTATTTAATGGCCTCGTACACTTATAAAGCTTTATTGATGGTTCTAATAAAGCCTAATGTCGAATCTCTCTGCAAGTTACAAATATTGTATAAAATTACACAAGATTTCTGATGTAGCCAGCCATAGTAGTTGATGATGCTTCACACTGCGGACTAACAAACATCTAAATAGTGTTTCAACTCCAAATTGTTCTTTAAATACATTTCTAATCTTGACATGTAGATCAGAATAATGAGATTCTGGTGACTAGTTCTGACTCCAAAATTGGTGTCATCATTTTTATTTTCGCAATGAATAACCCGAGTCCTCTTTTATACAAAAAATTATTTGTTTGAAATATATTATATTCATAATTTAGTCTTTAATGTCTACATCAAGAATTATATTAGTCATCATACTTAAAAGAGATATTGCCTTGTACTTAAGATTTTCTAATATGGTCTTCGCCAGTGCATGACTAGTATCCAAACTAATAATATCTTGATCAACATTACAAATATGTAAGAACAAAATGTTGGCGCGTTAAATTTCTTTTTTTAAATGTGCTATAAATTAAATAACATACTTTTTGATTTAAATGTGATTTCTGAACGGAGGTAATAAAAACAAATACATAGCCGCCATACAGCGTTTCCCCTGCCCTGTAGCCAATAATATCATCAACTCAAATGTAAGTCAGTGGCGGGCCAAGACGTTTACAAAATTCGAATGACAATATAAATATTCGGGTAAATTTTCTTTTAAATTATTTTTGGTTATGTATTGAAGCAACTGTTTCACATATCTCAAGGAGTCTGGTAAATTTGGGACCATTGTTTGTAATTCTTCGTATAATTCGTAAGGTTGGAAGTCGCTGTTCTTACCCACTCGCAGGACTGTGTGTAAATCTTGACATTTTTTTCTTTTGAAACATTTTTCAACTTTCTTACATCGTAGGGAAAAACAAAATTTTTAAAATATTGATTCAAAGATTTAAATCTTGAACCTATATTGCTCACTATGGAATGAGTCGTGGTGTTAAAAAAATCTATGTCGTGCCTGCTTTTAGGAGACTGTATAGTAGTGTCCCTTATACGGGGGAAAATATTTTTCTTTTAGATTTCAAAATGGATACCTTAATTCTTTTTAAACTACCTAAACTTAATGAAATAGAGAATTTTTTCTTTGTGTGTCAAGATTAAGCTGTGCTATAGGACCCTTGAAGATTTTAAAAATCGTTGTCTTTAACGCTTATCCTTGTATATGTGTAATAAAATGAAATTAAAAAATAATAATCAAAATCAAAGTAAAAAAATAGGTATTATTAATCAAAAGAACATCACAAATCATCAAGGATATTTTCTTTTAAGGGTTTTTTTACAGTCTGCATACAGATTTCTATGCTCTTATATACAGCGCAGCAAAAATTGTTTTTGTTCTTCCTTTGCAGTGACTAAACCATGGAAATCTTGCATATAAGTTTTACAGCTTTTTAAGCTGTATCATTCACGGTCCTTAAAGAAGGAACCCTTCTTTTTGCCTGCAAATAGGTTATATCTTCCCATGTAGAAACGGGTTTTCAAGTAATTTGTATCAATGTTTAAACGCGCAAATAAATTTGTACTCTTGACAGGCACAAAATAATCATTTTCCTGCAACAAAGACAAGATTATATTATTATCAGTTTATTACGAAGGATATAAAATATTGAACTATGTATTTTCATTTAAATTACATAATACGGTTTTATTACATTTTTCAACTCTAACTTTACC